GGAGCCCCATCCCCTGGCTCTCCCACGGCTGCCACTGCCGCCGCCCACCATCCCTGCAGAGGCAGGACGAGGACGCTGACTTAGAGGGGCCATCAAACACCCCCATTTCTGTCACTCACATGAGGAACACCAGCCCCATTTTACAGAAAAGACAGCTCAGCTACTGGGACAGAGCCCCGATGGATGGATCCTGGGGAAAGTTCAGACCTTACACCCCTGGAAGATTTCAGGGGTGGAGGCCCTGGCCACCCGCCATGTCCTGGCCAACTCTGACCTGCGGGACGCGATCCACAGCATCGCTGTACAGCGAGAGGCCAGCAAAGTCGCAGTCCAGCTTGAAGGCCAGCGTCTGAATGGTGGACGTCTGCAAGGTGAGGTTGGAGCCCTGGAAGGTGGCATTCAGCAGGCTGTACTCCAGACCATGGACGAGCCTGAGGGCGAGAGAGGTGACCAAATCTGGGAAAGGGGGTAGGCTGAGAGGGGGTCCAGACAGCCTGAGACCATAGGGCTTTCTCCACCCACACTCATGTCACTCCTGTCTGTGGGCTTTTGCACACTCTTACCTCCCCACCCCACTCATTTCCTTCTCCTGATTAACTGTGGATCAGGTCCCAGTTTGTTGACACCTCCTCCAGGAAGCCTTCCTTGGCTGCTCCATGTTGACTGATTGAAGTGCCCCATAGTCCCCAGGCTTCCCTGGCCAGTCGTCAGCATTGGCCTCTCAGCCAGAGCTGCTCGGCCTTTAGGTCACAGACTCGAGAGACTAGCCTGAGTTTTAGAGCCCCTTCCGAGAAATATGCACAGAGATCCATGATTCTGCACCGGCTTCATGACACCCATGGTTAAGGGCCCCCAACCAGACAGTAAACTTGATGGGGGCAGAGAGATGTGTCTATCCTGCACCTCCAGAGCCTAGTGTCAGGCACATAGTAGGCCCTCAATGAATGCATGTTGAATAAATGAATGAATAGTCTACACTAGCCAGGCTGGCGTGACTCAGCGGTCGACCTATGAACCAGGAGATCATGGTTCAATTCCTACTCAAGGGCACTTCCCCGGGTTGCAGGCTCCATCCCCAGGAGGAGGTGTGCGGGATACAGTCTATCAAAGATTCTCTATCATCATTGATGTTTCTACTTCTTTCTCCCTCTCCTTTCCTCTATGAAATCAGTAAGTGTGTGTGTGTGTGTGTGTGTGTATTAATAGTCTACACTAGACCAACTTTGGACCACTGATTCAAGCTACAAGCACTTTTGATATTTATATTTTCTTTGATTATAACTATAATAACTATAATAACCCAAGGCAAGGTCACAGGGGGAGGCACAGCTGCCTCTAGGTAGGCGAGGAGGGACACACAACTCACTCGGCATGATTAGTTGAGGTTTGTCTCCTGGGCCCCTTCTCCATTCTCTTCATCCAGCTCAGGGGTTCATGGGCTCGCTCTGTGGGAAGCGGGCCAGATCCCCACCTCAGCCTCCGTCCGGAGCTGCCCCCCGGCCCCACGGCCTGTGACTCCCCCACCCCGGCTGAGACGGCTGGTTCACCGCGCTGCTGCCCTGGGAGGCCTAGGCCCCCTCTCAATCTCCCTTGGTCCGAGGCCTCCCCTTTCCCGTCACAGCCCGGGGTCTGGGCGAGGGCTGCCCTCCTACCTTCCTCCCCGCTCTGAGACGTCACAAGGCCCAGGCAGAGGAAAAGGACCGCACGGCAATCCATGTCCCGGCCAGGTCTCCTCCACCAACCAGCTCCTGCCCTGGAAAGGGGCGTGTGTCGCCACCCAGGTCAGAGGGTGACCTCAGACTTCTTGGCGTCTGGCATGTCCTAAGGGGGGGGGACACACAGCATCTTGTTTGATCCCCGTGACTCCTGCCTTTCGCAGATGGGGAGACCGAGGCTCAGAGAGCTCCACTTGAGGCCGCCTGAAGCCGCCTGAAGCCAGGGCTCTGTGAATCCAGAATCCTTGACAAGTTCCTAACGCCTGCCATTGGCAGTTCTGCCTGAGTCACTCCACCCTCCCCCAAAAATTGATTTTCTAGGGGCTTCCCCCACGGCTCTGACCTCACCCGGGGGAAGTTGCTTGGGAGCAAGCAACCCCTAACCCTGTCTAACTCTGTTGTTAACCCATCATGTGATTTTGAGCAAGAATCTAGCCCTCTCTGCCCTCATTTTCCTCGGTTTTAAATTTTGTTGTTGTTGTTAATCCTCACCAGAGGGTATTTTTTCCATTGAATTTTAGAAAGAGTGGAAGGGAAGGGGGAGAGACAGAGAGAGAGAGAGGAACATGGATGTGAGAGACACATCAAGTGGCTCCCTGACCAGGGCTGGGGATGGAGACTGCAACCGAGGCATGAGCCCTTGACCGGAATCAAACCTAGGACCCGTTACTCCTCAGGCCCTAGCTCTATCCACTGAGCCAAACTAGCTAGGGCTCCTCGATTTTAAAATGAACTAACAGCCCTGGCTCGTTTGGCTCAGTGGATAGAGCATTGGCCTGGGGACTGAAGGTCCCAGGTGTGATTCCGGTCAAGGGCACATCCCTGGGTTGTGGGCTCGGTCCCGGTGGGGGGTGTGCAGGAGGCAGCCGATCGATGATTCTCATTATTGATGTTTCGATCTCTCCCTCTTCCTTCTTCTCTGAAATCAATAAAAATATATATTTCAAAAAAAGGAACTAATAAACTTCTGCTTAAGGGCAGCCAATGTATGGCTCTCCTCAGAAGCTCCCTGAAAAGGAGAGTAATTAAATAAAACGGACACCAAGCCACACAGACACGCGATGGGACAGGCGACAAGGACAGACGAGTGTCGTTGGCAAAACTAGGAGGCTACCAAGCAGGTGAGAAATGCAGCAGAGCCCAGCACATCTAACCCGAGTGCCCGCAGTGGGGAGCGGGGTGGCGGGGTGGCGGGGTGGGGGGAAGGGAGAGTGGGCAGCCAGCCAGCTCAAGCCTCACGACCTTGCAAGCCCTTGAGAAGCAGACGCAGCAGGAACCTCGGAAGGCAGGGATGGAGGGCGAGACTGAGAGTGGGGTCCTTGGCTGTGAGTCGTTCAGATGGCCACCATGGTCCGCAGCTCCCCTCGGGCCCTTGACTCGCCGGGAGCCTTCCTCACCACATGGCCATCCTCACCCACCCCAGCACAGTTCTCTCCCGGGAGATGGTGCACGTAGAGGATCTGAGCACAAAGGCGGGTGTCCCTGGTACAGTGAAGCCATGTCCCCGCCCTGCCTCCTCCTCCATGCAGCCCCCAGGAGACCACAGCAGCCATGGTGATGATGTCTGGAGAGAAGTCTGCTCTGAAGAGCTGACCATTTCAAGAACAGTATCCTACAGTTACTGGTGTTTTTAAAATATATATATAGGTGTTTTTTTTTATTGATTTCAGAGAGGAAGGGAGAGGGAGAGAGAGATAGAAACATCAATGATGAGAGAGAATCATGGATTGGCTGCCTCCTGCACACCCCACACTGGGGATCAGGCCCCCAACCTGGGCATGTGCCCTGATCGGGAATTGGACTGTGACCTCCTGGTTCACAGGTCGATGTTTAACCACTGAGCCATGCCAGCCGGGCTAGTAACTGATGCTTTGGTGTTCCTCGATACAATGGCCAGGACCAAACTTGTGGCGAAGTTCCAGCAGTCACGGAGCCCTGCCAAGCAATTGAGTTTATAGTGCTCCGCTCTTAAAAAGGGGCGGTCAGCCAAGACCACTAGGTCTTTTAAAAGATGCCACCCACTCCCCCAGGAGGCTGCTGGAGGATGTGCTCCACCAAAATGAGGGAGTCAATCATTGGAGAAGACATAGGGTTCCAGAAACCGCCCCCCAGAGGAGCGGTGAGGCTACTCCTCAGAGAATGGGTGGAGAGAAGGCCCGGGTTGATGTCTGGACAGCAGGACCAGGACACATCCTGTTCAGAAGGCAGCAGGTGCCAAGAAGGCTCCAGAAGGCAGCCTCGAAGAATAAAGAAAGAGGAAGAGAATAAACAGACTAGCTAGCGGGTTTGGACACCTAAGAAAATTATTTTGAGAAATGCCCTATAAAAAGCTTGCAAATGAAAGATAAAAATGAGCCATTAATTTCAGAAAAAAACAAGCTGTACAAGGAAGAACATGCAATCTTGCTACACACGTCGACTTAATCGGGGATAAAATTTATACAGTCATAATGAAAACGCGGAAGGGGAGATTTCTTTTTCTAATTGTGTGAAAACCACATTACAATGTGGCGATGTCGCGGGCCACAGAACATCGGCCCCGCCCTGGCGATGGAGAAAGCCAAGCAATGAACAAAATTACTTTCTGAGCCCTTTGGAGAGTGCAGGCACCAGGTCACCGAGGAAACTGGCAGAGGGAGAGGAAGTTGCCACAAAAAGAAAAAGAAAAAATAAGAAAACAACTGATATCGTAATGAATTATTAAAGACTGTGAACTAGACTGGCAGTTTGGGGCCCCTGGGGGCCCCAGATACGAGGGGAGTCTATTTCTTCCCACCGTTTTCTACTGGGTGCATATGGGAGGGAGGCAACCAATCTATGCTTCACTCTCACATCGATGTTTTTCTCTCTCCCTCTCCCTTCCTCTCTCTCGAAAATCAATAAAAACATATTTAATGATAATATGAATTCTACAAAAATTCTTCCCCCCAAAAATAAGTAAAAGGCAAAGAAAGAAATAACAAGATCGTAAACATATCCTTTCAGAAAATAAAGAGGCTGGAACGCTTCTAAACTCATTTTATGCCAATATTAGAGTGGTGCCCAAAACAGCCATGGGCATCACAAGGAAACCACAGACCAGTACCCCTCATGAATATAAATCAAATCAAAATCAAAATCCCTGCTGGATATTTTGTAGAAATTGACAAGCTGATTCTAAAATTTTTATTAAAAAGCAAAAGACCTAGCCCCAGCCAGTTTGGCTCAGTGGATAGAGCATTGACCTGCGGACCAAAGGGTCCCGGGTTCGATTCTGGTCAAGGGCATGTACCTTGGTTGCAGGTTCCTCCTCAGCCTGGGCCCCGGTCAGGGCTCGTGCAGGAGGCAGCCAATCGATGTGTTTCTCTCACATCAATGTTTCTGTCTTTCCCTCTCTCTTCCACTCTCTCTAAAAATCAATGGAAAAATATCCTTGGGAGAGGATTAACAACAAACAAACAAAAAGGACCTGCAATAGCCAAGACAATTTGGAAAAGGAAGAACAAAGTTGGCATCACACTAGTGATTTCAAGGCTCAGTATAAAGCTACAGTAATCAAGATAGTGTGTTACTGGCATAAGGCTAGACCTACAGATGAATGAAACAGAATAGCGTCCAAAAGTATATCCAGATAAATATGATAAATTGAGTTTTGACCAAGATGCAAAGGTAATTTGATGGAGAGAAGATAGTCTTTCCAATAAGTGGTTCTGGAATAAATGGATATTCCATGCCAAAAACGAAAAAGAACTTGGACCCATACGTTGCAGCATATACAAAATTTAACTCAAAATGGATCATAGATTGAACTATCAAAACAAAGTATAAAACCTCTTGGGGGGAAAGGAGAAAATCTTTCTGACTTTGGGTTAGGCAAAAATTCTTAGAAATACCACCAAGGTCCTTAGGGAAATGCAAATAAAGAATCTAACATCTCAAGGGAATCGGTGGGTGATGCATACAAACTTTTCATTCTGCTTATCCTCTGACCCAGGAAACCCATTTTTATGAATTTATCCTATAGAAATAATAGGGCAAGCCTGGAATGTATACATAGAGAGACATTTTTCGAAAAATATATTTTTATTGCCTGGTCGGCCTGGCTCAGTGGTTGACCGTCAACCTATGAACAGGGAGGTCACGGTTCAATTCCCTCTCAGGGCACATGTCTTGGTTGCAGGCTCGAACCTCAGTGTGGGGCCTGCAGGAGGCAGCCGATCCATGATTCTCTCTTATCATTGATGTTCCTATCTCTTTCTCCCTTACTCTCAATCCCCAATGAGACGCTCAACCACTGAGCCAGGCCGGCCTGGCGATTGAGAGATATTTATAATACAATTGTTAATCATAAAGAAAAATGGAAACTATGTAAATGTCTACCCATAAAGAAATTGTTAAATAAATTACTAGGTGTACCATTAATAATGCGGATTTTTTTTCGATAGATGGAGTTACACATATGTTGATATATATGCAATTTGATATGTATGCTATTTTGTTGTATTGACAATAAGCTTCAAAACTTTCATATGTCAAAATTTCTGAAGGTGTTAACATCATAGATATTTTTATGCTTAATGTCGAATTTCATGCCAAAAAAAAAAGAGCATTTACGGGAAGTTTTAATTCATTACTTTATTTTGAAGAAAAGTGCTGCTGAAAGTTATGGTATACTTGGGGAAGCTTATGGTGAACATGCTCCAT